GTGTGGATACAAACTGACCCAAGAATGAACCAAGGTGGTGAAATTCCAGTCTCAGTACAATTTCAGTGTTTAGTTTTTAGAGGAACACACTACTGCACATATAATACTGTTACGGAATAATTCTAAAAGAGCTATTTCTGGACGAAGTTTTTCAATCTGACCAATCAGGAACTTGAATTTGTTTGGGGTGGAAACCTTTTGTCGGAGGGGGGGGGGGAGTCAGGCCGCAGTCAACTTTTCTTTTTTACAAAATTCTAGTGTTAAGGTCTATTACAGTCTGTTGACAGTTGACTCATGAGTTGGTGAATGATTATTTCTTAATTCTAACCCTTCACCCTCCCCCAAATATATAATATCGCATAAATTATAATTTTACGGTATTGACCCATACTATAGGATATCTTTGATATGGAATATAAAATTACATATTGCTCCCTGCAATATCACACGTTATCTCAAGTATTAGCTGTAACTAACCACAAATTTGTCCATACAGGTTAACTCATCAGGTTCTCATAGCATTATGAAGCTGGGCAATTTGAAAAAGATTTGATTTGCATATTGTAAATCGTTTTGACTTCACATGAGGCAGCTAGGTTTTCCTGGAATTAGCTAGTCAGGATATTTGAGAAATTTTGTTCTCATGAGTCTAAATAAAAATAAATTGATATGATTTATGTGAATGAGCCAAGAATTATTTAGTAGTATGCAAATTAGCTGTGGAAATTTCACAATATTGTGATTTTTTCATTCATTTACTTTCAGTTATGTAGTGAATGCCAAGCACTCATAACCTGAAATCTAACTTAGGTGTAATTATCCGTAGTTAAACTGTGATTTTGTTCTAGCAATAATATAATATAATGTAAGAGTACAAACTCAAAGCTAAAGTTAAAAAAAATAATTGAAATAAAAAAACCTACCTACCCAGTATTTTTAGTCCCCAAAATCATTAATATAAGACCTGTTCATCTTTCCGAAATTCTTTCTTAGACATCAAATTAAAATGGTGGTCATACCTGGTTTTGATTGTAAAAAAAATTGCAAAAAAGTAAAACAAATACACAATCATTAATATAGCAAATTTGTTGATGACATCACTTTCTAAAAATAAAAGTACCATAAAGTAAAGTGTTGCCATGGGATGGTGTCATATAATTCTGTTTAAGTTAGTGGTGATTCTGATTCTAGATTTTCAAACTTCCATGTGGTCATCATAGTTTGTATTCTACAATATGACCTTCAATTGTTGAAGGGCTTGCAAAAATGCAAAGATGAAATACAAGAAACCTTGGGAGGATATAAACATTTTATTGATATTCCCACAAACACTACATAAGCTGGCTTGCAAATTGACCAATCAAGAAATGGTATTATTACAAACATCATTGTGAGTTCTAATTGATATGAATGAGTTGAATATCATATCCTATCAGCAAGCGTTTTATTTTGATTATGTGGAAGGTCAAAGTTTCTATGTGAAAGCACGATAAGCTCACATTATGGCTGGTAGTTACTGAGCCAATTGCTATGAACTATTTGAATTATTATCAGTATTTCCAAATTTTTAAAAATAACTTTAATAATTGGTATTATTATACATCTGTCACCGTAATGCATTATTTTCCGCTGCGTGTCAGTCTATACTCCAGCATATACTGTCTTTGTGCATACTTTGAGGTATACTTGTAATGTGTGATTATTGTTCACAACCTTGTAAAAAGTAAAAATTCCCAATGGCAATACTAGGTGGTGTGATTCTAATTCTTTTGGGTGGAAACCTGGGCATTTTTACCAATTGGCAACCATATTTGGTGAAAACAAAGGCAGAAAACTCTCAGGAAACTGGCTAGTTCTTGAGACAGTGTAAAAAGATTATACCCCTTCATTGGCAACATATGGAAATTTTCTTGTTCAGGATTACCTCAAATTTGAGTTTGTGTTGTTTTTCACACTTTAGATGTTGTCACTATAGCTCTTCACCCAGTGTTCCACAGCAGCTCACACAAAGCCCGTAGAAATGCATGGTATATACAGTCACAGTGGTAAACGTGTCAAGCAACAAATGATGTTCTGTGATGTAGCTGTACCCACAAGAATTTCATGCAACCTGGGAGTGTCAGTATTTTCACATTACATTCAACACATTAGGCGATTATTATGCTTTTGTCCTGTTGGAGGGTTGAACATTGATTGCATTAGTGTTGTCGTTCAATTATTTTCAAGCGTACATCCCATATCACTTCAGTGGCAGTCCACAGTCATTGCAGGCAAATATATAGCACACTTCCTCACTTTTAATGATCGTCCAATGTCTATGATATCATTTCTTGCATTGCCGTGTCAGGTTTGATATGAAACCATATACGACATTTAGAATGCATGTAAAATTTGAATGCATGTTACATGACATTTATGATCTTTTAAAAAAATGATCTAGAATAATATAATTACCAAATTAAAGTTTATTCCATCCCCAGTATAGTGTGATGAAATATGTTGGCAAAATGTGCAATGTGATAAAATAAATGTTTTCGCACCAGTTGGACGAGAGATGTATGCTAGTGCTTCTATGGGCAAAATAGTTCTATCTAAAAGAGTTAAATTTTATAGGTAATAAATATGCACAAGGCTACATGATGTATGTGGGTTCTCATTTTGGCACAGATTAAAATTAGCAAAAACCATATCTCATAATTCTTTAAATATGTGCATAATTCACAGGACTGAATGGTTTAATCCTATGCAGATTTAGAAGATGTTGAATTAAGCCATGGATAGCAGTGATTCAGGTACGATTTGTAATTTTATGTCGAGAAATATCTGTCTGTTTGTCTCATCTTAGGATATGCTCTAGATCTCATCAAACTCCAAAGACATGCCAAATATTACTGATTTTCAGACAATAGTGTTTGAATTGTGCTTAGCTGAAAATTTCGCGGAATAATAAAAAAAAAAGAATGGTAACAAAAGACTTCTGTCTTGAAAACCTAAGAAAAAGCTAAAATTATATAAATATACATAAGAATGTTCAAAATATTGGCATTATAGACATTAATCATAATCAGGATATAGGTCACATTTAAAAAAATCACTTATTATATAATAATTCATTGCAATTTATAATTGCATATATAAAAGAAGAAATTAACTTACCGGTATGAGTAGTAAATTAGGCCAAAAATGTTAATAATAATTTTCCTACAAACTTGTTGTTAATTTTTGTTGTGTAAATTCATATTAAATGTTGACCTTTGGCCTTTAGTAACAGATACTGACTTTTCCATTGTTATATCTGATGAATCTTTAATCTCTACTTCTGCCATGATGTGTATTTTCAAAGATTAATTTTTAAGTACAAAATCTATCTATGATTTTAGACCAACTTTCTTATAATGTT